ACAAAAGTTGCAAGGTGTCATGCATGCATGAAAGGGGCTAGGTGTCATCTTTAGAGCAAAGATAAGTGGCACCAACCTTAGGTTAGCTAATGACACATGTCCACTATATATATATATATATATATATATTTAACTTAAATCTGAATCTTTCATAAATTATATCAAACTTCTAATATTTACTCTTAGGTCCCTAGCCATAAACTTTTAATATAATATTATTGAATATAAAATAATTATTAAATAATCCTTATTTTTACAAACAAACCTTTTACTAAATTTTAAAAAATGGGAGATGTTACAGACTTGAAGAGAGAGTATCAAATATTGGATATGCATGAGGGCATTGATGCGTGTTGACTTGGATTACCTACATAGGATGTGTGAGAAGCAAGAGATGCATGAAAGCTTTAAGGTGTGTTGACTTGAACTATACATATAGAGAGTGTGAGAAGCAGAAGACACATGAGAATATCAAAGTGTGTTGATTTGAACTACTCACATAAAAAATTTCAAAAATAGCATATGCTAGAAAGTATCGAGGCATGCTGATGCATAGGGCATGTTGGATACAAGAGACATGGGAGTGCATCAAGTTATGGTGACTTGAATTACTTATATAGAGTATTAAATGAATGAGATATGAGATGACATCGAGGCATGCTAGCTTAAACTAACCACATAGAGTATCAAATATTAGAGATATGCGACAGTATAGTATTTGTAAGAGAAGTGTGATAGTGCCACGACATTTTAAGTTGAACTACTTGTATAGGGAGCACCAAACAAAAGAGATATGTGAGAGTATCAAGATGTGTTGACTTATACAATTGTATAGAAAACATTAAACTAAAAGATATGTAAGTATATTAAGGCATATCGACTTAAACTATCTATATAGGGAGTGTAGAACATAAGAGACATATGAGAGCACTAAGTTATGCATCATAACTTTAACTACCTATGTCAAAAGTGCTAGATATAGGAGACGCGAGTGCACTTATGTGTGCTGACTTGAACTGCTAACATATATCAAACATAAGCAACTCTCTAGGACCTTGAAGTGTGTTGACTTGACTAGCCAACATATAACAAACACAAGAAACCCTCAAGGACATCGAGGCATGTGGACTTTGAATTACCCATATAGGGAATTTTAGTCACAAGAGATACATAAGGGTTTCAAGACATGAGGAATATCAAACTTAGGAAAAACATAAGAGCACCCAAAATTGCTAACTTGGAGTACATATGTAGAGAATGTTAGGGAGATGGTGCCAAGTACTTGAGATGTCATGGTCATCTTGAAGATGCATCGGGTGGAGACATTATGACCAACTTGAAGATGTGGCGGACAAATATGTTGATATTATAGCAAATAAAGATATCATGATCATCTTGAAGTTATAGTGAACGGAGACATCGTGGTCGTCTTGAACTTGTGGCAAATAAAGATGTCACATCTGACTTGATATTATAGCAAACTGAGACATCATGGTCATTTTAAAGTTGTGGCAGATAGAGATGTTTTAGTTATCTCAAAGAAGAAGTCACATATGATGATTGGAGCCACACATCAAAGGAAGCCATGGATGGCGGATGATATCATGGATGGTTGATGAAGTTGTTGACTATGGAGATGTTGGAGGAAGTTGCAAACATTAAACATATATGATGATTGAAGGTATAGATGTTGAAGGAAGCTATGGACAATGATCAAAGCCATGAATGTTGGAGGCAGCCACAAATGAAGTTGTGGATGGTGGGCAAAGTCTTGGATAACAAATAAAGCCATGAACCATAGACAAGGTGAAGCGTTCTACGATAATGCCTTGACATATAAGATCTCCCCCTCACTATAGATATAACACAGATCCCCTACCTCACTAGATCAAGTTGAAATGTTCAAGCTGAACATATAACAAAACAAAAAAAAAAGGAAAAAAAATAGGGAGCCCATCGACGTGCTTGACTAGGTCAAAAGGCATAAAAAATAAGACATGATACTTAACCATGGGTGGGGCAAAATCACATAACTAACCTGATTTAAGTGAAATCGATCGACTAGTCCATGTCAGGTTAAACTCGAGCCTAACCACCGAACCCAACTTAACCACCCCAAGTTGAAATAGTTATGCATAAGTCCAAACCACACCTGATTAGGCTCAAGGCTAAGTTAAATTGCTTGTACCCAATAAGGCAAGCTTAGCCTAAGTAGCCTTGGTCAAGTATCTATAGAGCCAATGTGTAGCTCCAACGGACACAATTCAAGCCTAAGCTCAATTGTCATACTAGACTTACCCACACTTGATCTATTGAGCCATTGAATATGTGCTCGATGCTAAACTAGGGTCGTTCGACCACCGATATTCACATGCCCTATGTTGATATAGGTGCATCTGACCGTCGACATATGTACTTGATGTGAAACTACTCGATCCTATATCGATTTGTCAAACACCAACTTAAGTGCTTAAACCATGATACTTGATTAGGAATGTGCATAAGCCCAACTATTGTATACTTGAACCTGGCATGCCCCTTGACTTGCCTTGCATCCTATGTCAAGTCCCCTTGCATGCTAATCCAGGCATAGCTTAAGCCCGCATAGTCCTTTTTACGCAAAAGGGGGAATCTATTCATTCTTCCTTATGTTCGAACTAGACGACTTCAGAGAGATCGCTCTTACCATTATGCAAGCCACTACTAAAGTTTAAAATATAAAACAAATATACATAAATGTGTATTTGAGCCTAGAGCCCAACATGACCCAACACATCCTAACAGGATGAAGCATATGGAGCTCGATGAGGTTGATATGGTTCAAAGTATTTTTTTTTTAATGTGAAGAATTATCTCAAGATAAAAAAAATCTAAAATATTTGATGTGTCCCAAAGTGTCTTAATGCATGTGTTTCGTCCACCCAAGATAAATAAATATTTATAGTGCCCAATGCGACTAAAACATCTCTTTGTATGTTATGTATCCACCTATAGTAAAAAATATATTTGAGGCATCAAAAGCATTCCTCTTATGCATGTCTCCTTCGAAAAAAAAAATAATCTGAAGTATCCAACGTAATCCAAAATTATCTTTGTTATATGTGATGCATCCATTCAAAAACATTTTCAAAGCATCTCTCTTGCATGCGAGTTTTTTTGTCCATGACAAAAAAAAAAAAAACAAATATGTTTGGCATGATTAGTGTATCTTGTTTATGCATGAGACATTCACCGAAGACATTATACGTTTAACATGACCAAAACATCCCCTTCTACGTGATGCAATCGATACTCTCTAAGCATCCCTCGTGTCTACGTTTAATATTATATATGTCCGACATGATGTGCATCTTGTCTACGCATACTGTATTCACCCAAGACATTTTACATTTAACATGACCAAAACTTCCTATTCTAATTATTTTTTAATACAAGGATCAACATCGAGATCCCAAAATGGAGATTATATTCTGGGACGAGACATCCGTACTATAAATCCAGTCAATACTTATTGGAGGTATCAATATTGCTCATGTATTTGATGTGTTCACAATATCGAGTGCAAAGATTATCAAGCATGAGAACTCCATGACTTCTTCAGGCATGAGAACAGCTCAACGACAGCTTTTCATATCAGAAACGACATTGTTCTTCATGAGTTCATTTAATACTACAATAGAAATCTCACAAAAGCATCGCTGCAAGAGACTAAGACAAGGAAAACAAAAGGACAGCAAAGCTCCACATCCCATAGCCATGACGGATTGATACGAACTCGATACTTCGACTGTCTCTGCTCCGTCCACCGCCCTCCTCCATCTTCTCTTCTCAGGTTTATCGAGCAGAACCTTTACAGGTGACCTGTGAACTCGTCACTTCGCTTCCGAACGAGGAAGCGATGGGAGCGAAACGACGCATTCGTGGGTCGTACGTGCCGAGGATCAGCTAAGTTGTGTTGCATCATGATCGAAACGTGGACGGTCGAGATGGAGCACCGACATGTCATGTGCAGGTCCGGTTAATGACGTGGTAGAATCATCACGAATGAAGCAAGAAGACAAATGTACCGAATCAAACATCGGTGTCTGCGTGTGCATGACATGACTGAAACATTCCATGTGCCACATAAACATAACATTAGCAGATCCTATAACATTGCTAATGTACGTAATGTATCTCAAGCAACTTTATTATGCCGCACGCAAAAACCTACACCAACGGAGGGAGAGGGATGAGCGAGGTTTGGATGGGCCCCGCCGCTCTTTCTGTTCTCCCCACTCCTCTCCTCTTCGACCTCTATATATATGTATATCCATACAGTAATTAGAGCTAATTAGTAGAGCGAGCCCTCATCTCCCGTTACCACTTCTTGGCTTCGTTTCGGGGGATCTTTGGCGAAGGCGAGGCCATGAACGCCTACGCGCTCCACCTTGCGATGGCGGCGCTCTTCGGAGCATCCTTCGTCGCCGTCTCCGCCTACTACGTCCACCGCAAAACCCTAGCACAGCTCCTCGAGCTCGCCCGCGCCGTGGACCGGGATCGGGACGGCGGAGCCGACGGCGACGGCGGCCTTAAGCGGGGTCCCTCGTCGCGCCGCGGCGGCCGAAGAAAGGGGCCTGGGTACTACCGCCGCGGCGCAGGCTCGTTGTCGCTGCCGGATGTGATGGCGGCGGCTGTTTTGGATGGTGAGGAGGAAGAAGAGGAGGGGGATGATGATGAGCCGATTACGAGGCGACGGCCCGTTGTGAATGAGGATGAGGATGTTCTCCCAAGTTTTCCGATTCCCCCCGGGTTACCTCGTCTGCAGACGGTTCCGGAAGGTATATATGGATCACCGTTCTCTGGCCCCTCGTAGTGACCGGGACCGATGAAGTTTGCTAGTTGAATCCTTATAAGTGGTAAAAGATGTAATCATTTCAGGACATGTCAATGTTAGTTGATCGAGGAGTAACTTTGTGTTCCAAATCTTCATGTTTTTATGTGCAATGGATGGATTGAACGAAGGCATATTCACCAATAAAATTGAAGATAGACATATTCTTGATAAATAGTATATGTATAATTTTTTTCCTATAATGAGACAGGAAATGTCCATTTCAGGACTAGATATTAGTTGACTACAGAAATATGTTTATATGGAATGAACCTAGATATGCTTTCCAAAACATCGGCTAGATCATTTAATTGTTGTCAATCTGGTTTTTACTTCCCAAACTATAAATAGATTTTCTTGTTTGAAAAAGACTGGTTGTTTTTGTTATATCTTTAGCTTTGTTCTTGTATGGTAAAAGTACCTTCTATTTATTATATCTAGTGTTAATCGAAGTGATAAGTCCTTTATTCATTGACATATTTTCTAATGAATCATCTTTTCTGGTATCTGTTTGATAACCAAAGGATGTCACTACTTTGTATTCTGGGCCAATATCTTTGAGCTATGTAGCATTTAGATACATTTGCACTTCATGGGAATAGATGGATAACTGACATATTCGTCAGAAGTTATATCACTAATAAATTTGCACCAAATTGTCATTGAATCTTGATATAGACTGAAATCATAGGCTTTCAAGTACGCATCACATGTTACTTAGTTTAACTCTTTTTGGGGGTATTAAAGGACAATCTTATAGATGTGTCATCAATTTTATATGTCTATGGTTTAGCACATGTAGAAAGAAATTATGCAAGTGAATGGCTGCATGACTTTCTTGTGGGCTGTTATAATGCATAGAATGACATTGGTTTTCATGATGTGTCAGGTAATAAGCAATGTGTCCATGCAAGTTTCAACAAAAGAGGTGGTATCAGACCAACTTCTCCTAAGTCTCCTGTTGCTAGTGCCTTTGGGAGCCAAGAGGGATCTGATGAAGATGATATTCTGCCAAATGATCCGATCCTTGCTAATACCTGTTTGCATACAAATGGGGACATGGTAAGTTCATTTCTTTGTTCATTGTTGACAAAAAGACATAATGTTGTATTCTGTGGCATATATATAAAGTAACATTTAGTCTCACTGTCTCAGATAGCATTTTCAATTATTCCTTCCCTTATCTTGCTGTCATTATGTAGGGCTGACGTTGACACATCTTTTTGGGGACAAATGAGCGGTGGTTTCTGCATTTTTTGGAGACAACTTACCTGTTTCACTTATTTGCTTATTTTGTGGAAATGTTATTTGAATACTTAAAAATACATTTCTTGAGGTCAATAGTATAAAATGAAAAGTTCTCTAAGACGGTGAAGTCATACTGAAGTCGTGGCATGATGCATGAGAATTAACTGGGTACTAACATTAAAAAATGAAAGATTCCTAATGAAAAGCTGAATCCAACACAACAATAGATTTTCTTGATTTTTCTTTTATTATGGGGATCTAGAAAACAACATAAAGGAATTAAAACCTCATTTACTTTTTTGTCCCTCACAAATCAGTATGAATGGGAAGACACAAACATGTCATCCGTGGGCAATCAATGGGTTAGGCAGTGGCAAGGAGTAGAAGATATCATGAATCTTGACTGAAGACTAGGTCTTCATAGGCATCTAAATAAAATTTATAGCTTAATCATATAACATTTTTTCATATTTCAATTATATAGGAGCGCCATGCACTGTGGTCAAAAACTTAAAATAATATTAATTTACAAAATTTGGTCATACTATATAAGTTTTACAAGGATAAATGGGGGGACATGGCAGATATGTTTAAGAAAAATACTTGTTCAAAAGAAATGAATTTTCAGCAAAGTCACAGGATTATAATTGGGATCAGCTACGGAAGATGCAAGCAGAATTGACGGGATTGTTTCCCTTCATATTCCTTAAGATATCTTAGAAGGATATTAGTAATATGAAGGAGAAAGAAACTGTATAATAGTAAAGAATATGCTTTGTTCTCTGTCCTGGCTTGTGCTTCGTATGCCATGATTCTTTAACTCAATGTTTTTCCTCTGCATCAGTTACATAATTCTTTATTAATTTATTTTGTTGTGGTCAGAGTATATGAGGACACAGGCCATTTCCACAAGGTGATCTTAATAATTTGATATCTAAATTCTGAGGTTTTCTTTGAATTTTAGTACCATGGATTGCTTTATGTTTATTTGCTAGAAGCTTAGAAGTGTTTGTTATTGTTATATTTCATCATATACAGTCCTGATATGTTGCTAGTAATTTTGGTTCTTTTTTCTTGTCTTTGATGTCATAATGATTTTCTTTAAGGCATATTTGATAATGGAGACCCAGGTGGTCAAATCTGATTTACATGGAATGTATTTGTCAAAGGGCCCAGAGAATAAGGACTTGTTTCAAGCATTGCCTGATCATATCACTGACAATGGGGATCAGAAATCATTATCTGCATCTACCATCATTCGATCTCACAGTGTATCTGGTAATCTGCATGGTGCGCAGCATGACCCAGTAGCAGCTGATATTCTTAGAAAAGAACCTGAACAAGAAACTTTTGTCAGATTGAGGATTACACCAAATGGTATGACCCCTTGTTAATGGTAGTTATGTTGTATGAATTTATTCTACTCAGGTCCCTAGTTCCTTCTATGTTGTTTTCACCATGGCTTATTTTGTGTGATATTAAGGATGTTTTAAAACTAGGATCAAATGAAACCGCCATGCTTGTTTGCTGATTGAACTGATAAATTAAACCTTATTTTTCATTAGCATGAATAGCATGCTGCTTATTCTTTAGGCTAAGTTTCTGGGAAGAAGTTCATAATTGCTGCTACCATAGCCCTTCCAACTTGTTATGTTATTCTCTGAACAGAAAGGTTTTTGAACATATATCATTGAAGCTAAAAAAATTACAAAGACGTCCATTATATAATAACTAAAGCTCAACTTATGTCCTTAAGTTTATTTAGCTGATTGAATTCTCTTATCATTGTTGTGATTTCAGAGAAACCATCTCCTGATGAAGTTGAGGTCTATAAAATTCTCCAGAATTGTCTTGATCTTCGGGAACGTTATGTCTTCAGAGAGGAGATTGCTCCATGGGAGAAAGAAGTCATAACTGACCCTAGTACACCAAAGCCTAACCCTAGTCCATTCGCCTACACTCCTGAACAGAAATCAGATGTGAGTCTTGATCATTATCTTCTTTCTTTACCTAATATTCTCTGATTTAACTTTGAAGTGATATTCTCTATGCGTTTTTTCTTCTAATTTCCTGAATGATTCTTTTTGTAGCATGTGTTTCGAATGGTAGATGGAGTAGTGCATGTTTATGCGAGTAAATATTGTGAGACATCTGCTTCGACTAAATCTGTTTTCTTTGTTGTTTATCCACATCTTCAGTTGTGTTGAGTCTAACTCATTTTCTTTTCCCTCTCAGCAATGGATAGAAGACTTTTCCCTGTAGCTGATGCTACAACCTTTTTTACAGACTTGCATCATCTTCTTCGAGTAATTGCTGCAGGAAATATTAGAACCTTATGCCATCGTCGTCTGGTTCTTCTTGAGCAAGTAGTTTCTTTTGTCACTTTTTGTGTATATATTCTTTGATCAATTTATTTTCTGCTAGATAAACATGTGATGATTGGATATAATTGGTATATTATTTTTATTTGCACAATAGCAGCTAAGATGTGGCATCTATCCTGGTTGGCAATCTGCAGAAATTTAATCTTCATTTAATGCTCAATGCGGATAGAGAATTCCTTGCCCAGAAAAGTGCACCGCATCGTGATTTTTACAATGTCAGGAAGGTCGACACTCATGTTCATCACTCTGCATGCATGAACCAGAAGCATCTGCTCAGATTTATAAAGTCAAAGTTGAGGAAGGAGCCTGATGAGGTTAGACTATTTAAGTTTCTTTTTATGGTGTCTGAGTAATTAAGTGTTTTTCTATTTAGTTGAAATTGAACCCTCACTTGGATGCTTTTCTAGGTCGTAATTTTCAGAGATGGGACATATCTGACATTGAAAGAGGTTTTCGAGAGTTTGGACTTAACTGGGTGATGGAACTTGTCTCAAATACATATATGCAGGAACTTTTGTCAGTTTTCTAGATTCACATTTTTAACTCATCTGCTTATGAACAGGTATGACCTAAATGTTGATCTTCTAGATGTCCATGCAGACAAGAGTACCTTCCATCGTTTTGACAAGTTCAACCTCAAGTACAATCCATGTGGCCAGAGTAGGCTGAGGGAGATCTTTTTGAAGCAGGACAATCTCATACAAGGTATGCATTTCACTTATTAACCATGTGTGGCTTTGGTCCTGTTTGTACATTTTAATGTTTCGAATATATCTGTGAGTTTTCTGGTGATTCTTTAAGTTGCTGGTATGTCACCGAACACCACCACTGTTTTTGTGAGCCACTCTTTCTACATATAAAGAAATGGTTTCTTCAATATCACTCAAATGTATGTTGTAGCCTCTCCTACACTTTGTAGATTGAATGTCCTTGGCTGAGGGTGATGTTAAGCTTTCTTTTCTTTAAGGTACTTAAAAGTGCTTCATGAACATTATATTCTAGTATGCTATGGACATGTTCCAGAGAAATTCCTGTGCTCATTGTCTCTGTTCTATTTCTCACTTCACAACTCTCTTAGAATAGAAACTTTTTCTTGCTATGAAAATTTGGAAATTTCAGAGTAAATTAAAATATCTTATGTCATCCAATTGATCAGTGTACGCTGGTCACCAAAGGATCTATCTGGCATGTTTTAATTTCTGTTTTGTCCTGTGGCCATCCACCTTCAGTTTGCACATTCTAAATCAAGTGACTCATTTATAGATAAAAAAAGGTATGGCCCTAGCAAAATTGTCTAGTTATTTAGCTCCATTTGGTTTTGTGAATAGTATCTAATCTTGATGTCATGCTTCAACTTTCAAATGTTGCATTCATTATGCCTTTGGTAATTGAAACTGTCTTCTGACTATAGCTTGTTTGATGATCTTAAACGGTTGTTCCATACAAGAGATAATTGAGATTGGCATATTTGCTCATTTTCGTTTTAGTCACCTTGAGGAACCTTTTGTCCAGATGCTAGAGCTGCAAGTGTTGCTTACTTTTTTGTCATATTTTCGATTTTATTAGGTCGCTTCCTTGCCGAGCTGACAAAGGAAGTTTTTACTGATCTTGCTGCAAGTAAATACCAGGTATCATCCTTTCATAGGCCTTCAAAGATCTTGCTACTTGGTTTCATGTGATTTTATTTGCTGGTTTTTTAAATTAATATAGATCTGACATTAATGTCCATGTGTCTTCATATCTGTGTCTATTCATATCGTTTGGCTGCACAATAACCACATTTAGGGTAATCTCTTGAAAAAAGAAGTGAAATCAGTGCACGAAGCTTCCGCCAATGCAAGATATAAAGGTCAATGGATTGACTCTCTTCCTTGAAAGCATGAGATCTATTACTTCAAGGCTGTCATTGAATGTCTATAATATCTTGTCTAGATTTAGCAGTAGTTCAAGATGGATTTCTTTATGCAGGTTAATAGACAACTTATCCATTGACATTTTATGAGTGTGGTTCTTCGTTTTTAGTAAGGATCTACAATTTAAGCTAACAGTAGAATTCTTGACCATTCTTTTAGTTTTTCTGAATTCTCAGTCAAGTACAAATATAGAACCAACATGGAATTGTGCTTGTATAGACTTTAATCTGTGAAGCATGCTTGATTTGTATGATCTGAACTATTACTATTTAATTAGCAATAATGCCAAGAATTGGTGACCTTTCGTACTTGAAAAAAAGCTTTCAGTTCAGTATTTTGGTGAAGAGTTGGAATTTGGATATGCACAAGTACAACTATAGTGGAAGTTTAATACTTGGTGACCTTTTGTACTTAAAATAAGGTTCGTCTTATTGGTCCGAATCAAGGTTCGCCGTACCGTACCGTACCGGCGTTTCGACCCGGGCTCGGTACCGGTACGGTACGGTATACCGCTCGGTACACTCAGGTGTACCGAGCACTGTAGCAGAGCTACAGTTCTACAGTGCTCGGCTACAGTGCTACAGTGCACTGATACAGTGCTAGGTACGGGCGGACCGGTACAGGGCGGTCCGCGTACCGCTAGCCTATCGGACCGGTACGTACCGCCCGTACCGAGCGGTACAGTCCGGTACGGCAAACCTTGGTCCGAACCAATGTATTGGTCGGTCGACGGTACAGTACATATCGCTCCGTATCGACATACAATGTGTTGATACGGCGAACTGTGTCGTTATGGTGAGGTGTACCAACGACAAGAAAAAATGATAAAAAATAGCTCCAAAATTTCTTAAAAAATATAAAAAAGTTAGATTAGGGTTTTTAAGTTGAAAATAAATATAAATTTAGTATACTTTTAGCAAAAATGATCTAAATTAGAAAAGAATAATGTCACATATCTTTTTTAGATTTTAAGGAGTAGCTTTGTGGTACGTTCCGAACCGTCCTTCCATTGATATTAAATTATCTACAAAGAAATGATTTAAATTATTAGATTATTTGTTAAACAACTTAAACTTTAAGATTTAAATGAATCAAGTAATCGATCGATGGATATACCTGGTTCTACTACCAAGAAGAACGACGAGACTCCATGGGTGGTGGATCGGGGTCCTCAATCCTATGTATCTGTATATCAATTTGCTATGTTAGTCGAGCCCAATCCTGAAATTGATCCCAGGACATAGTATACTGGTACACCGTATACCATTAGTACGTCAATATGGTGATGATCGTAGTCTAATTGTCTTAAACCACACTTGTTTGAGACGACTCCCGTGGTAAGTATAATTATGGTATGTATTTGTGTAGAGCATGGAGAATGTTAGAACTTCTACTTTTGCCATTGATTTGTTGCTTCGTATCATAAAATCGATCATCTTACTGTTGCGCAGAGAAGAATGACCAACTATGACGTTGAGTTCCATGATTTGAATCTTAGGTGGCATGCGTAAAATGCTGCTTCTTATTCCATGCACCACTCTCAAACTGTGTAAATGGGACTGTTGACTCCCCGACGTCACCGCCATCGTTGATCGAGGCACTGTTGTTCACGTCGTTGCCATGTCTCCGGATTGAGCGAGTTGCTGAATGCCATCATTGATCGAGGCATTGCTGTTCACGTCGCAACTTTATGAAGTTTTAAGAGAGTGCAAATGTGAGAATGAGAGAAAGAGATTGAGAGAGTGAAATAGGTTGAAAGAGGGGGAGGAAAGAGTTTAAAAACCCTTTCAAATTGATTTGACATATCTGACCTGTTTGTTGGTAACGGTAGAAATTCGACTGTTACTGACTGTTATAGGCCTGTATCAGGCGATACAAATCCTTTTAGTATATACCACCCGATACAATGTGATTTGCGTACTGGTCCCTATCGGACTAGTATGTACCGTCCATGCCGATCCCTATCAGACTAGTACATACCGCTCATACTAGACAGTATACTGTGGTACAGTGAACCCTGCTCGAAACAAAGCTTTAAGTTCAGTATTTTGGTGAATAGTTTGGAGGAACTTGGATATGCACAACTACAACATTGTGGAAGTTTAATACTTAGTTAAATTGCAAACTGGTGACGATCAGAACAATATAAACCTTATCTCCAACAAACAGTGGCCACAATTTCTAGTTACCTGGCAGCCTTTATTGTAATCAAATGCATTTAGCATAAATACTTGTTGACACATAAAAGATCTGTTTTTGTTATTTGGTTTTATAATATTCAAATGCCAAATACTTGATTTCTTTTGCATCCTTATCATGCTTCCATCTGATAGACTTACTAGCTGTATTACTATTACTTGAGAAGAATGGGCGATTAGTCATGTGGCCCACAATGCAAATTCTGTAGCTACCAATACTAATTTTAAGTTGTGGGATTTACAAGATTTATCTCTATATCCAAAGGCTTAGCGTCATTGTAAGTGACTCAATGCCAGAGGCCTAACCCAATATCCCATGTGCAATGCATAGCACCAATAGTGACCCCACATGGTGATGTACCTGTTGCATTGGCAACTGATATCACCTTTTCCTATTGGTTTCACTAATCCACATCTGATGGGCGATCTCGGCTTTTATGCACATTATCTGAGATGGCTTGATAGACCAACTATCCTAATAACTTGAATAGATTGGCTCTTAGTTTTGTGGCCCAAAATGTTTTAAGTCAGGGTTATTGGTAGTAAGCCTATCAAATTTTATATGGACCCAACCAATTATTCATTGCCAAGGTGGGACCATTGGAGCATTACATCATTAGTAGACTATGTTGAAGATACCTTTTATTATATAAAAATCTTCCATTTATTAAATAGGTAATATTTAATAAGGTGGGACTATGTTGAAGATACCTTTTATTAAATACGTAATATTTCATTTATAAAAATCTTCCAAAATTTTATTGTAATGTCTCTTATTATAAATCAGAATTTTCTATTGGAGTTTCTATCCTCAAATCACTTTTTTATTAGATAGCTTAAATATCTGTCTATCTTTGTCAGATGGCTGAATATAGGGTATCAATATACGGAAGAAAACAAAGTGAGTGGGATCAACTAGCAAGTTGGATAGTGAATAATGAATTGTACAGTGAAAATGTTGTTTGGCTGATTCAGGTATTTTCATCAGTCTCGCCTTGTTTTGCTTGTTTTCTTTTTCATTCAAGTGCGTAGCCTTCAATTCCTTCTATGGTCATAACTTCTTGTTTCCTTGGTTTCGGTTGTGTGATGTGTATATTGCTTTATGTTTTGCCCTCTTGTGAAATTAAGATACTTTATCTACCTTATTCTGTCCATCTTTCGTTTGAGCATTATGTAGTAATTATGATCGACTTCCAAAGTGATCTTGTTCATGACTGCACGATATCTGCACCAAGGTGTTACTTTGTATAGCTCCATTATTGGCTAACATTACCTAAATACTAAGCTGAGATATCTCGTTTGTCTTTCTTTTTCCCTGTGCTTTGATACCGAGAAACATCATAGTCATCATGTAGTTGTTACTATGCATGTTAGTTGATATTCATTAGATAACTGCACATGAAAACCTTTGAGAGTTTTTGCACTGATGAATATCTGAACCACGGAGTACTGACTATTATGTAAAACATTGATGGTGGGTTGCATGATGGAACTATATTGTCTAGGTAAATTTTGAACATTGCTATTTGACAGTAATAAAATTAGTCATCTTTTAGACTTTGCTTCTTTGCTACTGATTTTTTGCTTTTGTTGAAGAAGGAATCCTTTTCTAGAAAATAATTTTTTATTTCTGGGTAATTAACCATGCGCATCAGAGTGTGTAGAAATTTGATGTTGATACCTTCAATGTCCTATGAATTAGAAATTATCCTGAGCACACTTTTGTCTGAGCGACCTTGCCAAAGAACTACTTGATGAACTAGCTTTTACTTCATGGTGGTTGACCTTCAGATTCTACTGTAAGTTTATTAAACAATTCTGGGTGAAATCTGGGCTTGAGAGCATTTTGGGCCTTCAGTCAAAAAATATTCCTATCTTTGAATTCCATAATCTCATCTTGAAGTCACACCAAAAATATCCTTTTTTACATGACTTCGGATTAAAAAATGCTGGGTGGACAAAAATCTGTCATTCATATTCAGAAGGCCTCTAAAGTGTTGCTTGTCGCATTCCATAGTCAAGTCATTAAGATGGCGATATTTTGCATATAACTTAAAGCTAGGAAAATTAATTCAGACTGTCTAAATTCTTCTTTGATAGTACTTCTTAAAGCAACCTTCTTTGATCAAATTCACAGAGTTACGGTTTTCACATTTAAGTAGTCAATATTATTGTTTGATTCCTTCCAAAAATTATCTACTTGAAGTTGGTTTGACTAGCACCATTTATCCTTGCAGCTTCCACGTTTATATAACATATACAAGGAAATGGGCATAGTTACATCTTTCCAGAACATGCTTGACAATATTTTCCTTCCTCTTTTTGAGGTCACAGTAGACCCAGATTCACACCCTCAGCTGCATGTTTTCTTGAAACAGGTATCTCTTTATCCTATTTGTTTATTTGTAGTCTAAGCTTTATCTGCATGTCCATCCACTTGTCTGGTTTGCCTTTCCATAATTAATTCTTATGTTTCTAACTTGGCTTTCATGTAATAACAAACAGAAGTAGGCGGATTGACGTAAATTTAATGTTCTTTAAGATGACATTTAAAAAAAAAAAAATCTTGCAATCCATTTTGTCTGCTTGATTGACAAAAATCCACCACATTGTTAACAATTCCTTAGTCCTGAGTTATGAGAAATTAGAAATTTATTTGATTTTCTGATGTCATAAGTAGATACTTTTTGCATGCAATATATTGGTAGCATGACTTTCAATCATTTCATTTTGATCGGAACGATTCATGCTTCCTGACATGATTTTTTGTTTACTAATTGGACTTGGCGGATTGAGTTCATATAACCAACCCTAGTTATAAACATTTGTATGGTGGATGGAAAAGCTTGGAATTAGAAACTACTCGGCCAGTTCCCTTGAAATCCCTTGTTTCTGAGGAAGTCATGCTAGCTGATATTTATGAACACATATTCCTTCTTAAAATCTTTCATCCTCTAGAAACCATCAGTTTCCTATTCAGTTTAAACTTTTGTTTTTCATAGTTAACTATCATATAATAAAGGACTGAAATAGTGAAATGTTTGTTAGAGGCATGTATGCTGAATAAATTTGATCAGGGCATATGGTTATCAGCTTTCCCTTTGGTCCATTTAAACATGTGCTTGTTTCTATTTGCTTTTGTTTCTCATATGCCAACATCAAATGCATGTGTTTATTGGGTACTTGAATGTGTGTGAATTACCTGATCAGGTATTTTTTTAGTTATCCTGCTAAATCACCAATTAATTTAAGTGGTGCTAAATGTATGAAGTCAGTGCTAGGAAATTTGGGAATGAGTTGATAGTCATGACTAAATTCTTTACTACTGATGTAACTGGTAGCATGTAAGAGTACTGAAATAATTTTCTTGGTTATCAGCTAACAATATTATTAGTGTGTCTTCCATGTTGATTAGTTCTTCCTCTGGTGATTTGACCTGCACTTTGGGTGCTGTGGACTTTCTATGAAGAGTGTACTCCTTGCTTCTTTTAGAGCTCATGTCTGTTTGATTCCGGATATATTTGTTTGGATTGGCGGGAACTTGGTGAACTGGGCCATCATTTTACGTATCTCCTTGCAGCTTTTCTACTTCTTGTGCTTCCTTCTGTGGATATACACCATAGCTTTTTGTGATTGAGTTGTCATTGTCACACAACCAATTAACCAGTGATGATCCATATAGCTCATGCCAAACAATTGGGCGTTAAGACTTTGTTGCTGTTCCTGTTCTTTTACTTGTTCCAGGTGAGAGCCTCACTTGAAATTTCTACTTTGAATTAAAATTACAAAAAAAAGCCCATTAGGGTTTTGCATGCAAATAATTTGTTTCCCTATCAATCACTGATGGTTTACTAGGGTCGTTTTCATTGAATCTGTTATGCATAAGAGCATATCATACATTTCTTTAACCTAAAGAATGAAGGTATCCTAAAAATTCCCTACTGTAAACTTCATCTGCTAGTGAGATCCATATATTTTTTGCCTTTTCATCTTGCCCTTTCTGAAGTTGTGTTCTTCTCTAATGCTATTAGTCCATCTAATTATAGTTTCTGGACCTGCATAAGATTATTTGTGATTGCTACTATGTCTATCAGGTTGTGGGGTTGGATTTGGTGGATGATGAAAGCAAACCAGAAAGACGGCCAACAAAACACATGCCAACACCAGAACAGTGGACTAATGTTTTCAATCCTGCATTCTCGTACTATGTGTACTACTGTCATGCCAACCTGTACACACTCAATAAGGTAGTTCTTCTCCTCACTCAATTCAAAGGGATATTAGTTTAATGCATCATTACCCAAAGCCTCCATGTATTTTACCGTCAATATCCATATACAACTAAATTGGTATCTGATTATGCTTTAGATATTAATCATGTTTTAATTCTATAGAGATCTGTGATGATCTTGAGTAAGTTCTAAATGCCATTGACATGTGTCAGCTCCGTGAGTCAAAGGGCATGACAACTATCAAGTTTCGACCCCATTGTGGAGAGGTAATATTTGGAAAGATCATTTTCATTTCATAGTCATATATGTTGCATGTTTTCAGTGGCATTAGTTATCCACAGGCTGGTGACATTGACCACCTTGCTGCAACTTTTCTTTGTGCAAATAATATTGCTCATGGGATCAACCTAAGAAAGTCGCCTGTTCTTCAGTATTTGTATTATCTTGCTCAGGTAACAAACGCTGTGTTCCTTGTTTGGAGCTTAAACTTGTTTTATTGTGCATATATCATCGATGATTCCTTGTGATGTCGTGTCTTCATTTTTCTTTATATTCCACAAACTAATATGTGACTTGACTAATATGTCATCAGATTGGTTTGGCAATGTCTCCTTTGAGCAACAACTCCTTATTTCTTGATTATCATCGAAACCCATTCCCGATATTCTTCCTTCGAGGTCTAAATGTTTCACTTTCAACGGATGATCCTCTGCAAATCCACCTAACAAAGGAACCTTTGGTGGAGGAGTACAGCATTGCAGCCTCAGTAATCTTCATCTAATCTGCTCTCTCTCTCTCTCTCTCTCTCTCCCCTTGTGTCCCCCTCCCTTTCCACACTTACTCTGTCCTTGCTATTCTTTATTGATGGTTTACTTGTTGATTTTACAGGTTTGGAAGCTAAGTTCATGTGATTTATGTGAAATTGCTAGGAATTCAGTTTTACAGTCTGGTTTTTCACATGCTCTCAAGGTATGTACTTTAGGTTAGGCAATATCAAATGATTGTGCCAAACATACAGCAGATGCTGTTGTTGCAAGCTGAAATGGCTAGTGGATTTTTTCGTGGATGAAATTGGATTTTTCTGATTTTTTAGTGTTTGCCATTATGTTTTGGCTGCTGCTACTAGATCAAATAAGCCCTATTATATATTATGCTTTCTGAGTTGTGTGAATGGTAATCATGTCAATCATGCAACCCCAGGTGCTTGCATTTATCTGTTTTTCTTGCAGTCTGCCTTTACAAAGTCATATCACTGCATATCTTTTCTGTTTAAACATGTCATTTATTGTCATCTTTATTAATTATAATGCCTTTGCTTGCTGTACATGATAATTTATCAAGTCATCTATTGTCAGAAAATTCATTTTTGATATTGTCATCCAATTTCTTCTAGTCGCATTGGATTGGAAAAAGCTACTATAAGAGAGGTCCTGAAGGAAATGATATCCATAAAACAAACGTGCCTCATATCCGTGTTGAATTTCGCTACATGGTAACTGTCTCCAACTTAAAAACTTTATTTTCCTCAATTCTCTGATGTTTCTGGTTTGTCTTGCTTCTTATGCGTATCCATCTTCCACATTGAAATTTCAGATATGGAGGGCAGAGATGCAACTAGTGTCTTTAGGAAAGGCCATCATTCCTGAAGAAATTGATAAGTGAATCCTTCTGGCCAGCAGCTTGAAACCTGGTAAGCTATATGCTTGCAGAAATAGTCCTCCTTACACCTGTATTTTAGCACTGGTAGTTAACCTAGGGCCATCACGGTTCGAGAATTGCTGGTGTAGGGGCTTAACTTGTAATAACGTGCAATGGAGTTTACATGATTTATCTTTATTGATCAACTGTTACTTATCTAGTCTATAGCCAAACAAAGTGCAAGTATTCATTTTCTTGTTATTCATGGGGCAACAAGTATTTTTCTCTTGAGATTATCATCGATCAACTTTGCCTGTTGCCTTAGCATTTGTTCTTGAACCAGATGGTTTTTGAGTAAGATGTCTTGATACACTCTTCAATCTGCAACATCACATATTATATCAAAGTAGCTCTTCCTGTTACAAACATGAACCCAACATAAGTACTGATTCTGTGTGCTTTTGGCCATATGTTATGGAAAGCAGACTAGAGATGACCTCGCCTGGCACTACGTTCTGGCCTAAGCTAGAAAGTATGAACTTAGTCAGCGTTACCTATCAGCAGAATAATGGATCAGGAAGAACGGATCTGATGCATGATATCAAGGCCACCCAGGGGGGGTTAGAAAGAGCATATATTCTATTTACTTGATGGATAATTGCAATAATGTACATAATTTCTCTTTTACAAGTAGCTGAACTAGTAGAGGGTGTGATTCATCTATTTGTCACTAGCTATTTTTGCTGCGCTTTTGTTTTCCTACTGATTCATTGTTGTAATAATGTCTTCTGGTCAGTCAACTCTCCGAAATAAAGAAGCATCTGTTGGTGAACCAAATTTTCCAGAGTGAATGATAATATAGTCATTGTTATGGAGGTTCCATAATTTTCATAAAGGTTATTATAAAGGCATGCATGCTTGTTTATCAAGGTGAGTTCCATTCTTCTTGTGATGATATGAAATCAGAAGCTCCATGGAGCCAATGGTTCAGATTTTTGTATGTTGGCTTCTAGTTGATCCTAAATTTTCCGATGAGATTTGCCAACTGATGTAGTTGACAATGTATATGAGTGATACACTCAATCCTAGAAGCTTCATGGAGCCAATACTAAGATCATGTTTGCTGATATATTTCACTCTTTATTTATGTAGTTGAAATCAGCATTTTTGTCCTCTCAATCCATACCTTGATCTCCTCCATTCACCCATGCATGGGATAACTCTGCTTCTCCTTCCTCCCTCCTCCGTATATACCTATGGCTGAGTCGTCTCAACAACAACGAGCACACAGCGATAGAATGGCCGCAAGGACCTAGCTTCTGCTTGCGCTGATTCCCTTCTCCTACGGTAGACCGGCGCTGCGATTGACTATGGATTGGCTCTCACCAAGTCATTGCTCTTCTTCCAAGCCCAGAGGTCGGCGAAGCTTCCACCCGGCCAGCGAGTGACCTGGCATGGCGACTCTGCTCTCAACGACGGCAAGGATAACCGTGTGAGTCCCTCTCCGTAGCCCTTCGTATCACATAGTCTTCTCAGGTTTTAGAGGTTTGGCGGATCAATGTGGAACAGGTTGATCTCACCGGAGGATACTACGACGCCGGGGACAACGTGAAGTTTGGGTTCCCGATGGCCTACGTCATAACCATACTCACCTGGGGGGCGTTCGAGTTCGACGCCCGCCTCGTGGCGAAGAAAGAGTTCCAGAACACACTGGCCGCTATCCGGTTGGGCACCGACTAACTCATCCGTGCCCACCCCCAGCGCAATGTCCTCTACGTCGAGGTCGGCGAGGGCAGTTCCGACCACGAGTCCTGGCAGAGGCCGGAGGACATGACCACCCCTCGCACGTCCAACAAGATCGACGACTCCAAATCCTGGCTCATCTCGTCACTTGGACCGAGCAGACCACCTAAGCAAAAGCAAAAATATGGGAGCTTCCACCACCAACCCCTTTTAGTTGCCGATAAGAGATCAACCTGCGATCCTTGCGTTTAACTTCCTAAAATGAGCTCGCAAGAACCATTCCTCGCTAAAAGGGTCACGCTCCCACATCAATGGCTAGTGGCATGGCTCGCCTACCCCACCTTCCTCGTTAAGACTTCCCTGACATTGACTTGCCGTGTAGGATCCCCGGTGCAACTGAGTAGGTATTGCATGACAACTCCCACGAGCAAGACAGTTCGTCTTCCTAAGATCAATCCACCTCCTTCATAGGCGGAAAGTTATCTATGCTCGTGCCCTACGCTACCTCTCCATGATAGTTCCCATTGTTAACTCCCCGAGAAGGACCTACACTTTGGCGTTGGATCGAGTCGAACCGACTCATCAATCGACGGCCTAAGGATAACACAGGCGATGACAGGGACTACTCCCGCAAACTTGTCAGCCACGCAAGACAGGTCCACGTCTAGGGAATATCTCATATTCAAACATCTAATCGTCGCAACACCTACCATATGTGTGTGACCCTCTAGGCCCAATATCAAGCTGGCCAAGAGTCATACCGGTCAAAACTTCTTCTGGCTCAATGAATTATTATCTCTATAATAATTTACTCGATTTATCGACTGCGAACATACTAGGCCACTACACTACAGTCCTCAAACGATACTGAGGAGTCCAATCCTTTAAACATATCTGTCCTCAGTTACCGTGTATCTATAGTCCCTCATCCATCTAATATCTCAAAGACTATATTCCGGGCATGGTATTATCAGGCTCATACAATATCTATTCGAGTCTCGTTCTAATCAGATTCTCTCGGAGAACTCTTTCTCCCTCAATCCGGATAACCCTGCCTAGGGATTTGCCTAAACAAGAATATATGAGATATTCCTCTCATGACACTGAGAGAAGATGATCCTCTATCAACACTCAATTGCCCTCGTAAGATTGGTTACCATTCCCGTTGAATAATTATGCTAGATCTGAAATTTCTAGACCTATAAGTTTGATATCAAAAAGTGGAGTGCGCATATAGGACATCCTTAGTATCTTAAGTCTAAGGACCAGATACATCACTAGGACGACGAAATTATTGAATATTAGATTTGACGATAAAACCAATTAATAGTATTTATAATTTGATCTGCGTTTTGAGTGACGCAGGAAGCTTCGATCAGGGAGAGATAATTAAAAAGCAGGAAGAATCATATTGGGCCAGAATGGAACATGTCAGAAGATTGGACGTTAAGCCAAAGGATCGATCGATATATCGGTAGAAGGTTTCGGGCCATAAGTTTGAGCATCAGGCTAGAAGAGCGAAAATTATGCCAAGGATATCGGAGTTGCGGAGGTCAACTAGTCGATTGGGCAATAGCCTGCAAGAGAGGACGATGTGCCAAAGATTTGGACGAAGCGTCGATAAACCAATGACATGTCGGACAACATAATTCAAGCTTTGTAATAATTATCTAGATCAAAATATGTTTTAATTGTGTAGGATTAACTACGATAGCAATCAAGGCATAAAGCAAACTGAAGTCCTGGAGTCGAGAATGAGATTCGTTGGAAGTTCGAGAGTTCATCAGAAGTACGGACGATCGTCGGAAGTTCTACCGAAATTGACCAAGTCTAGGAGCTTGCCGAAGAAGCTCGTCGGAAATCGCCAAGAAGATTGTTATGAAGTCCAGGAGCTTACCGGGAGTCCGCTGGAACATTACCGAGAGATTGTCGAAAGTTTGCCAAAAGATCGTCGAAAGTTTGTTAGAAGAAACCAAGACTAACCGGACCAGATTTGCTTAGTGTATATCTTAGAATTCGTAGTTAGCACATAATTGGGATAGAAATTGGGCCAACCTAATTAGGGACCAGTTGGGCTCATGTATGGGCTATGTTGGGCCAAGTGAATGGCTCAAACAGTGACCCAATAGGTGAAACCGTCGTGGCACAGTCTTTGAGATTATGTCAGGCGGTGGTACTGCCAGTCTGGGCGGTGGTACCGCCCAGACTTAGTCTCCGAGCCTGTCAGGTATTGGTACCTCCCAGTGATAGGGTGCTAGGTGGTGGTACCGCTCAGTGTCATAAAGCACTAGCGGTGGTACCACCAGCATTGATGGTGGTACCGCCAGCACTGGTGGTGGTATCGCCAATACTCGGAGGACCCGGGATGAAACATTTTTAGGCTCCAAGTTTGAATCCACTTGAGGCCTATAAATATCCTCTCATCTCTGATTAACACACATAAGCACATAGAACTTAAAAGTGAGAAAATGATGTATAAATTACTTGAGAGATCTCCTATAGCTTAAACTTAGAATTATGTTTAGAGAGGAGTGTGTGCTTGTAAAAGGTTGTCTCCTAAATTTGTGAAAAGGAGAAGAGAGGTGTAAAAGGGTAGTTAGTCTTCGCCCATTGAAGGAAGACCATTAGTGGATGTCGGTGGCCTCGACAAAAGAGGAATCAAGAGTGGATGTAGGTCACAACGATCGAACCACTATAACTATAATTTCTTTTGAGCAATTTACTTCAATTGTAAACTTCCTTACTTGCTATACTCTTTCGTATGCTTTCAATTTAAGCATCTTTACGAAACAGGTTTAATCAAAATGAATTTTTCGAACCGACGTGATTTTATCTGTTGTACTAATTCACCCCCCCCCCCTCTTAGTGCCGACTTGTTCCTAATAGGAATCACCGTTTGACAATAAGGTATCATCAACCATCCAACATTTTGTGAGCGGATCGATTAATGAACTTATTCTCTAATGAGTACCTACACTTATTCCTAGTGTCCATACGAGCAACCATGAGACCGATCACCTTCATTATATGAACATGTATACAATACACAAATTTATCCGGTTATCTCGATGTCTTTATCGAGTAACCTATGACTAGGATTATTTAGGGTATGTATTTAAAGACGAATCGTGCTAGTCATAGATGTCCTACAAGCTAATCACATGAGTAATGACACGTGTGACATGACACACAATCTTTTTACTTATTATTATTATGGTATTTTCTCATTTTAGTACTTATTGTATGTATATATTGTGATATCTATGGATCTGTGTAATAGGAGTTGGATCATGATGAGATCATGATAATGAGACTGATTTACCTTTAAACGTATACCCTAAAAAATCTCGGTCATAGGTTACTCGAGATGGACATCGAGATAACTGGACAGATTGATGTATTATATACTTATCCATATAATAGAGGTGGTTGGCCTCATACATGCTCATGTGAGGACATTAGGGATGCAATACAAGTGCTCATTAGAGAATGAGTTCACTGATTAATCCGCTTACGAGATGATGGATGGATGATGATGCCTTATTGTCAAACAATGATTTCATAATCCAATGGTGTATCTGGTTCTTAGACTTGAGATACAAATGATTTCTTATATGAGTACTTCACTCTTTGATACTAGACTTATAGGCTTGAAAGTTTCAAATATAGCATAGCCAGTTATCAGGAGTGGCAGCCAACCTTACGAGGACTATTAAGTGTCGATAGAAGATCATCTGCTCTCGGAATTAGGAGAAAATTTTTTCATGTATTCTTGTTTGACAAATCCTTGACTAAGGTCATTCGAATTGAGAGAGAATAAGTCCTTCGGGAGAATCCGATTAGAGTGAGACTCGAGTAAAAATCGTATGGTCCTGACAGCGTCATACCTGGTATATGGTCTCTGAGATATTAGATAAATGAGAGACTATAGATACACGATAATTTAGGATCGATATGTCCAAATGATTAGATTCTCTTATATCATTTGAAGACTGCGGCATAATGGCCTAATATATCCGTAGTCGATGAGTCGAGTGAATTATTATGAAAATAATAATTCACTGAACCGGAAGGAGTTCTAATAGATATAACTCATGACCAGCTCGATATTAGGTAGAGGGTTACACATATGGTAGGTG